GCTGGTGCGGCTCGTGCTGCTGAAGCTGGTGGACGAGGACCTGCTCTTCCACGGCGAGGCCTCGGAGCAGCTGCGCACGCGCGGCGCCTTCGAGACCCGCTTCGTGTCGCAGGTGGAGAGGTGCGCGGGGCGCGGGTGGCCTCTGGTCCCGTGGTGCGTCCCCTCCATGGCTCCCCACCCGCGTGGACGTGGTCTTATTTCACCCACGCCACAGCCTGGAGGTGTGGCAGTGTCCCTCCGTTAGAGTAGAGACCCTGAGCTTAGAGGGGAGTAATGACGAGGTTCCCCCAGAGCCCGAGCCCCGAGCGCTTTGCCTTGGGCAGGTGGGCAGAGGGAGGAGAAGAGGCCACCGCTGGGGGGGACCGGCTGGTTAGGGCTAGCGACCCTCCAGCGAGTTTCCCTTCCTCCCTTCCTCCCATCTCCGCCCCGCAGCGACTCGGGCGACCGCAAGCAGATCTACAACATCCTGAGCACACTGGGGCTGAGGCCCTCGGCCACCGACTGCGACATCGTGCGCCGAGCCTGCGAGAGTGTGTCCACGCGCGCCGCGCACATGTGCGGCGCGGGGCTGGCGGGCGTCATCAACCGCATGCGCGAGAGCCGCAGCGAGGACGTGATGCGCATCACCGTGGGCGTGGACGGCTCGGTGTACAAGTTGCACCCCAGGTGCGCGCGCGTGGCCGGGGCGGCTCCCCCTTGCGGGCGCTTGTCCCGACGCCAGAGCTAAGGTCTCAGTCTCCATCCGCTCCCGCCTAGGCCCCGATGCAGGGGAGGGTCCTCTGGCGTAGCCCCTGCGGTGTGTTCAGCCGGTAATGTCCCTGGAGGGTGGGCGGGGGAGGCCCGTGAGAGCCCATGGAGGAGCGACCGTAGCCCTGCTTACCCCCTCAGCTTCAAGGAGCGGTTCCATGCCATCGTGCGCAGGCTGACCCCCAGCTGCGAGATCACCTTCATCCAGTCGGAGGAGGGCAGTGGCCGGGGCGCAGCTCTTGTCTCCGCCGTCGCCTGTAAGAAGGCCTGCATGTTGGGCCAGTGACCGCAGCGGCTGAGAGGCGAGGAGGCCGTGGCCATCGCTGGACCTGGGCGCCAGGGGACAGGGCTCCCCATAGGTGCACCAACCTGCTGGCCTCCCATCCCCGCTGCCACCCAGAGGTGGGAAAAGGCCCACAGGGGAATACAGTGCACCACAGGCCAGGTCTCCCTAGTCAGTGGGTGGGACAGCTCAGGGCCCTGACTGGGTTGGAGGCTGAAGTGAGTGGGAGTGGAGACCCCACATCTTTCGCTTTCTGCGGGAGCCAACGCCTGGTGGGGAGCTGCTCCTTGAGACTTTCTGGCATCTCTGCACAGCCGCGTCTTAGAGCTTTCGGCCTGGTTCAAACATGCCTGGGCCCACTTGGGACGGGGTGTCCTGTGGACCCTGCTGTGGCCTGGTTTCCCTGGGGACTCACTCGAAGGCAGCCCCAGCAACCAGGCCAGATCTTAGCCTGGGCTCCACAGGGGGCTGGCGACCACCCAAGACTGGGGGTCGGGGAGTAGAGTGGGAGGTGACCAGCTCTAGGGTGGAGGCTGTGCTACTGGAGGCCTGAAGGTGGCTGCCATCCCTGACCAGTTTGTGGTGCTGGGGTGGACCCCAAAGCCACTACCCCAGGGGCCAGGAAGAGGAGGATGCCCACGGGGCTGTCACACACTGGCCCAGCAGCACTCGGCACACCGCAAGGGACCACCCAGGCCTCTCTCTTTTCTCCAGACCCACATATGCCACACCAGCCACTTCACGCCCAACCTGGGGCTGCGTGGTTTTTTAAATTAAATTAAAAGTTATAACATGGCCTTGTCCACATTCTTTGATCTCTGTGCATAAAGACTGTGGGACAGTGTCACATGCACACAGACGCTCTGCGAGCCTAGATGTATCTTGGAATCCGCCATCCTGTCTGGTCAGCTATTCTGGGGAGTGTGAAAAGTGACAACCCAGGCTGTAGGAACAGAAATGGGGTGGCATTTGAGCACTATCAGAGGCGTAGGCCTTGCCCAGGCCTTGCCCACTCGTGGGATTTGGGGTGCCGATCCACCAGTGTCTAATCTCGCAGAAACTCTGAGGTCTGCCACAGTCCCAAGGGAATGCCCAGGAGGAGGTGCGGGGCCCATCTCTGGGTGGTTCTGCCTCAAGTCAGTCTCAGCAGGGGGTCCCTAGGAGCCTCTGGGGTTGTGACAGTGACTGGGGAGCCGGGGATGCAAGATGACATGTGATTTCTGAGGCCCTTCCAGTGCTCCTGGGTATAATGCTTGCTTCATGTTGGCCAACACAGGCCCTTGCACATCTTACACGTAAGGCTCGTAACACAGAAACACATATCTGCGTGCTTTTCACGTACACTCACTTTTCAGTGAGGGAGACTACTCAGCAAATCTGGAATGACTCGTTTCATTAAGAACTTAACCCAAAATTGTGATTTTGAGCGGGCAATGCCCCTGAGGTGTCCTCTCGTTTTACTGAGGCTCACGTGGAATTGGCCCTGACCTCTAGTCCTCTCTGGCCTAAATTACGCACCAGCAGTTTCTGCGAGCGTCGGATTCCGTCTTATCGGCACCGATGTTCTCGTGTTGCAGTATTCACCCACCGGATCTCGTTTTGATATAAATTACTTCCTGGCTGTCCTTGTGTCCTTGCGTTCAGGGCATTGTATCGCGGTTTTTAAATTCTCTATGTGAGTAGATTACGTGGCCTGTGAATCTCGTTTTGGGAGAGTAAAGGAGGTGTCATAAAATACTTGTTAACAAAAGGGGGATTGTGTCTGACAGATGAGACACAATCTCCACCAGCTGGGCTGTCTGCATTCCTCACCCGTCCGGCAGGGGGCAGCCAGGGGCCCGCCCTGCTCTGGAAGGTCCCCTGCTTCCCAGTCCTCTGTGCCTGGACCCATATCCAGGACCCGGTGGGGCAGCTGCTCTGCCACAGCAGAGGGGTGCCCGGCCCCTCACTCAGCAGTCAAGCCCCACGCCAAGGGCTCGTAACCCACTTTCATGGGGGTCCAAGGGAATGTTTGGGGTCCCGGCAGCGCTCCTGCTCCAAAAGCCACACACGCAGTTTCTGTTTGGGGTCTCAGCCTTGTGCTCCTTGGTCAGGGGCCAGAGGCCAGCGCCAAGTGTCTTCACCAAAACCTCTGAGAATCTCTGGTGGTCTCAGGCCAGGGACAACCCTCAGAACGACCCACTGCCCTCCCAAGCCCAGCGGGGGCCCCGGGCCAGCCCTCCTCCAGCTACCCTCTTCAACTGGGCAGAGTCTGGGCTGGACCTGCAGGAGAGACAGTCAGGTGGAGGTGACAGGCCCCTCATTCGGCACCTTGAGTGCTGAGAGCTGAGAGCCCACCCTACGCTCTGCTCTGGGGAGGCCTTGGGGCCCGTTCTGCCCGTGTCAGTGGACACCCGGCTGTGATACGTCAGGGGCCCCAAGGTCATCAGGAATGTGGCTGGGATCCACTTGGGGCCCTACCCTCCCCCCGCCCAGGCAGGGTGGCCAAGTTTGGGTCTGTCCTCTCCTCCTTTCCTTATTTGGTGCTGCAGGTGATAGGGCTGAGACATAAAGGGGGCCATGGGCCCCTTGCCGCAGCCAGGCTGCTGCAGAGCCAGGATGGTGAGAGCCGGGCTGGGGGCTGCGGGCCGTCCTGCGGGGTGGGGTGGAGAGCGGCCCGGACAGGTCACCGCCAGGGATGGGAAGGGGACCTGCCCCGCTGCCCTGGGATGCCCTGGAGAGGACCCCTCCCCACCCACAGTGTTGCAGGCCAGCAGGAAGGCCGGGGCGCGGGGCAAGGCCACGGCCACCAAGCAGGCCCAGCGAGGCTCTTCCAACGTCTTCTCCATGTTCGAGCAAGCCCAGATCCAGGAGTTCAAGGAAGTGAGTGCCCTGCCCCCCTACACCCTCTTCTCTGTAACCCGGGGGTCTGGCCTCTGTCCTCGCCCCTCCACCACCCAGGACTCCCCTGCTTCCTGCCTTCACTGGGGCAGGGGCTGCTCCCACTGGAGACTGTGACCTCCCACCTCACAGGCCTTCAGCTGCATTGACCAGAACCGTGATGGCATCATCTGCAAGTCCGACCTTCGGGAGACCTACTCCCAGCTGGGTGAGTGCACCCACTGCCCGCCTGCAGCCCCCTGCTCAGCCGGGGCCTGCCCAGGACACTGGGCTGCTAGAGGCCTGCAGAGAGGGGGCCCCTGTTTCTTCCACCCCTCGAGTCCCCGTCCCCTGCTGTCGCACATTACTTCTGCTCCACATCTCCCACCCAGAGCTGTCCGATGCTCCACCCCTATGCTTGGGAAGGAGCGGAGGGCAACCTAAGCCCTGCTGGGGACACCGAGAGTCCCCACGTCCCTCTCATGACCCCTCCAGGGAAGGTGAGTGTCCCGGAAGAGGAGTTGGATGCCATGCTGCAGGAGGGGAAGGGCCCCATCAACTTCACCGTCTTCCTCACGCTCTTCGGAGAGAAGCTCAACGGTGAGCCTGGGGCAGGTCTGGGTCCCCCCGGCCAGGCAGAAAGCCGGAACCCCGCCTGGCCTTTGCCCACCCAGAGGAACCCTCCCCTGCATCCCCGACCCATGGGCACTAGTCGCCCCAAGTACCAGCTCGGTGTGGAAAACGTGCCTTCGGCCTCCACTGCCGAATCCCAAGTCACGGTGTCCTGGTCAGGCCTGCGCACCTCAGGCACCCTTGTCCTGTCTGGGCCCCCAGAGACACTTCGTTTCTGGGACATCCTGCCTCCTCTTGGATGTGGAGGGCTCCCCTGCACCCTGGGGTCCTTCTAGGCTGCGGACGTGGGTGCTCACCTGTTCTCTCGGCCTCCCAGGGACAGACCCCGAGGAAGCCATTCTGAGTGCCTTCCGAATGTTTGACCCCAGTGGCAAGGGCGTGGTGAACAAGGATGAGTAAGTGCCAGCTGACCGAGGAGGGACAGGGACACTGTTTTGGAAGCAGGGAGGGGTGAAGCCCCTTGAAGGGGGACTGCCCGTCTTTAGGGTCCTCTCTGTTCTTTGGGGGCCATCTGGACCACGGGCCTTCATCACCCTCTGCACCGCCCCCACCTCCAGGTTCAAGCAGCTCCTGCTGACCCAGGCGGACAAGTTCTCTCTGGCTGAGGTGAGGGTTCCTAGCTCCCGCCTGGGGTGCTCATCCCGCAGGGCACTGGAGGCCTTAGTGACCCCCGCCTTCCTGGGCTTAGAGCCCAGCCTTCCAGAGGAGGGAACAGTGTGCTGGGCAGGAGAGCTGGCTGTGCAAAGGCCCAGTGGCACCCCAGCATCTGCAGGGTAGGGATGTGGGGTCCACCCTCTCCCCGGTCCGCCCAAAGTTAATGGGAAAACAGTACCTTGGAGTTGGGGTTTGGGCCTGAACAGATGAAGGGTGGAAGGGCAGCCCCAGGAGGCCGAGTGAGGGTCCCAGTGTCCCTCTGGCCACAGCCTGGCCTCTCACGGCACCTCCCCCAGGTGGAGCAGATGTTCGCGCTGACGCCCATGGACCTGGCGGGGAACATTGACTACAAGTCCCTGTGCTACATCATCACCCACGGGGATGAGAAGGAGGAGTGAGCAGGGCCGCGGGCGACCAGGGCGCTGGCCCGGGCAGCCTCAATAAACGCCATTTCCAGTAAACCCTGCGTGGTGGCCTGTCTGTGACAGATGGGTGGGGCCACCAAGGGCATGGGGCAGGTGCAGAGGCATCACTGTGAGAGGGAGCCAGGCCCCTGGCCAGCCCTGTATTCGCCCCACATGGCCAGGAGGGGTCAGGCCCGTGGGTCCTGCCTGAACTGCACTCCATGCCCCTGTCACGCCCCAAGGGGACCCTCATCGAGAGGCCATATGCACCCCCATACTGCCTGTCTTTTTACAAGTCTCTGCTCTGTGAGGATCACCCGCCTCCCCCCACCCCACACCAGCCAAGGTGCTCTCTGCAGATGTCCTAGAGCTCCTGGTCCTCAGGGTCCTCTCCCCACACCCCACCCAGAGCCCACTCCCCTAGAGTCCCTGAGCAGGTATCCGAGCCTCGCTCCCGCCCCCTGCCCAGGGCCTGTCCAGATCCTCCCGGGGCTCCCTGGAGGAACAGCCATCAGCTCTGGGTCCCTTCCTCCTTCTCTGACAGGCGCTCACGTCCAGACTGAGGGGTGCACAGAATCACCACCCCATCCCGGGCTCCTACCCAAATGCTCCTGTCTGTCCCCAGCACCCTATACACCCTGGATGCAAAGGCTGGTGGCCCCGTGGCAGCACGGCCCCATTGGGGGGGTGGCTGGAAATGCAGACTCTCCAGAGGTCCTGGAGCCAGGGCCGGCTGCTGTGCCAGGCAGAGATGGCCAGACCACAAATGCAAATTAAAAACAAGGACAAGTCAATGCTCCCTGGGGCAAAAAAGGAAACTTTTCTCCTTCCTTCTTAAGAGG